TTTTGCCACGCTTCGCGATCCGCTCGCATTTCCTCCTGAAGGGCTGCGATGCTCGCGAAGAGCTGCTGGGTAACCTCAGCATTGTCGAAGGTCGCCATCCTGTTCAAAACACGCGCGGGGGGCGTAATTCGACGCCGATTCTGGAAAGGGAATATGGAAAGGAGAAGAGAATGGAACGGGGTCGTACTCTCACACGTTCCAACCGGGGGGGACGTGGTGTCTAGCGTGAAGAGGCCAAACACCGGGTCCCAGGGGAACGTGGTAAAGGGGGTACCAGTGGCGGCCTTGGTACAGACAGCGTACCGCTCGTGCCAAGGGAACGTAAAGCTGACACCAAGGTCCTAGAGGCAGCCGACACCAACTAGGTTCCTAGAGAATGAGGGGAGGTGCAGGCCTGTAAGGGAGCCTGAGGGAACCGCCGAACAGGGGAGAGTAGGGGAGCTACGGGCAACTACAGGACCGGAGGAAGGGTCTGCAAGAGCAACTGCAGCAAGAGCGGCAAGCGGCGTAAGTGTAGTGGAGTCGCGAAAGAAACACAGGGAAGCGCCGAAGTCCAGGTTGAAGGAGAGCGCGGCAGCGGCGACCGATGTTGGAGGAGCGAGGGAGGACCCAAGGCTAAACAAGGCAGGGGATCCTACGCCTGAGACAACAGGGGAGTCTGAACTAGGTACACGGGGCGCACCTACGCTAGGCAACACAGGGTAATAAGAACCAGTCACACTAGAGTCATCAACATACAGTGCATAAAAAGCATAGCTAATCGCATCCATGTCCATATCAAAGATCTGAACACCACGATGGAGCAGATTGTGCCTCTTGGGGAGGTCAGGTGACGGGCTGAAGCGGAGACGGAAAAGGTCGTGTAGACGACGAAAGCAACGAGTGGGGGTATGGCCGATCTTAACGCACACGAGGCCGCGGCGAGGACCAGTCTGGAGTTGGTACTGGCAGCGCCCGTCACGCTGACCACCACCCGACGGCACGCCGCGCTCACGACCACTGCGACCACCGTCACCACCGGCTCCAGGCCACCTGGGGGGGAGACGGCCGACCCGCCGCTGCTGCTGCTGCTGCTGCTGCTGCTGCTGCTGCTGGGACTGCTGCTCCAAGGAACCAGCCCCAGCCCCGTCGTCAGTACTACTAGCGGTCGAGCCACCTCCACCACCGACACCATCCCATACTGCGCTTCCTCCGCCGCGCCCAGCCTTGGGGCGGCGACCCTTACACAGACGAAACTGCACTGCGGCGGCTGTCTCCGCAGCAGGAGCCGTCTCAGCGACCGCAGCAGAACCGTCAGAGTACGTGCACTGAGCAGCACGGTACCACTAGCCAGGGCAATAGAGTGCTGACGAGTCTCTACGGCAGACAGGGTGTCAATAAAGTCAGTGAGGGTGAGGTCTGCAGGGTGGAGATTAAGGAAGTGTTCGCGGGCGGTGGCAAGGCGGTCAGGGAGATGGGCGGCAAGCAGGTAGATGGTAGAGCAGATGGGGGTCTGAAACACACGAAGCTGGGCCTCAGTGCTGGCAGCGCGCCAGGTCGTGTCTAGCGTGCACAGATAATCGGCTAGGTCAGCGATAGTAGGGAAAGACGCGAGGTCAGGAAAGAGCATGGGCACGATCAGTCGACCGACGGAGGCAGAGGGCGGGGTGGAATAGCGCGTGACAACAGCCTCTCGGAACTCCTGCGCAGTCCTGACCAACCTAAAGCGGGGGCGCTCGGACAGGGGGAGGGCATGACAAATCGCAAGCTGTGCGACAACGTCGTGTGACAACCACGCAGCACGAGCAAGGTCAGCAGCGGCAGCGAACTCACGGTCAGCAGACGTGGAATCAGCAGGGAGAGCAGCAGGGGGGTCCAGGCAAGGGAGCGTACCGTCGATGCGGACAGCGAGGGAGTGGTCGTCCTGCCGCTGATCAGTCAGGTGGCGGCGGAGGTCGACGAGCCACGAGTCGAACTCAATCGGCTGCCCTTCCGCATCAAAACGCAGAACCGAGTCCGCCATCATGGGTGCTGCAGCTGCAGAAAGGTGGTACTAGGCAGAGGGGTGCGGCGGGAAGCGGTGATGTGCGACGCAGTGCGGTAAAGTGTGGTGCAGAGCGGTGCAATGCGGTGCAGGGCGGTGCAGTGCGGTACCGGGTGGTGCAGGGCCGATGACGGCGACGAGGCGTCTAGGAGACGGGGCCGCGGGTGGCGAGGCGACAGGGCTGGCTAGGCGTGGAGGTGACGGGGCCGGCTGGGCTACGGGGCCGGCTGTGCAACGAAGCCGGCTAGGCGAAGGGGCCGGTGAGGCGACCAGGCCTGCTGGGACCCCGGGGCCAGCTAGACGACGGGGCCAGCTAGGGGACGGGGCCGATCGGGCGACGGGGCCGGCTAGGCGACTGGGTCGGCTGGACAATGGGGCCGACGAGGTGACGGGGCCGGCTGGGCGACGGGGCCTGCTAGGTGACGGGGTCGGCTAGGAGGCGGGGCCGGCTAGGAGACGGGGCCGGCTGGGCAACGAGGCCGGCGAGGCGACGGGGCCGGCTAGGATGCGGGGTCGGCTAGGAGGCAGGGTCGGCTAGGAGGCGGGGCCGGCGAGGAGGCGGGGCCGGCTGGGCTACGGGGCCGGCTAGGCGACAGGGCCAGCTAGGCGACGGGGCCGGTCGGACGACGGGGCCGGCTAGGCGATGGGGCCGATTGGGGGACGGGGCTAGCTAGGAGGCGGGGCCGGCTAGGAGGCGAGGCCGAATGAGCTACAGGGCCGGCTGGACGACGGGGCCAATTGAGCGACGGGGCCAGCTAGGAGGCGGGGGCAGGCTAGGAGGCAGGGCCGACGGGGCCACGGGGTCGGCTAGGAGGCGGGGCCAGCTAGGAGGCGGGGCCGGCTAGGAGGCGGGGTCGGCTAGGAGACGGGGCAGGCTGGGCTACGGGGCCAGCTATGCGACAGGGCTGGCTAGGAGACGGGCCAGCACGTGCGGGAGGGGAATGCGGTGGCTAGGACCTAGGGCGGAAGCGCTAGTGGGCGGGGGGGACCTAACCTACTCATGATACCATGTTAAAGTGAACGAATGACTAGAACAATGACATACAAGGGAATATAACCTAGTGGGTTGTACTCCCTAAGGTACAACCCTGTATAGTCTATAACAACATAAAAAGATATGTTTGACAACTCAGTCTAGCTGTGAGGCAGAGATCAGAGCTCCGCTGGTTGACGTTCTTGCTCACAGACTTAGGTGAGCAGCCTAGCTCTGCCCTAGTGCTGTTTCCTGAACAACAGGGCCATGATCCTCTTGTGTCAAGAGGCTCGACTTGAGGGCAGGACGAAGCACATCGAGCTACGGTACTTCTTGCTGCGTGAGTTGCAGCTGCGCGGCCAAGTTCGTGTGGTACAGTTGGCCTCACAGGCCAACACTGTTGATATCTTCATCAAGGCACTTGCACATCGGGATCATCAACGGTTCTTTTCTCAGCTCGGTCTAGCCTATGTAGCAGCAATGCTCCCAGGGCTTCTCCGGTACCTTCCCCCCTGGCACCGAGTGGCTCTTACGGCGCCCCATCTACGGCCTGCGACAAGCGCCCCGTGAGTGGCACGACATGCTGCGTGCTACACTTGCTGACTTGCAGTTCTTCCCTTCGTCTGCAGACCCCTTGCTCTTTGTCCGTTCAGGCCAGATTCCGTGCTACATCCTTGTCTACGTAGACGATCTGGTCTTTGCTACTACGTACAGAGACGCACTGACCGCCGTGAAGGCCGAGCTGCTAAGGAGACACACCTGCACTGACCTAGGAGAGCTGCGCCGCTACCTTGGCGTGCAGATCTCCAGGGACAGAGCAGCGCACACCATCAATCTCTCACAGTCACACTTGGTGCGCCAGGTCCTTCAGAGGTTCGGCCTTCAGTTCTCTTCCGCACAGCCCACCCCTCTGTCAGTTGACTACAGACTCTCTGACCTAGTCCCTGAGGAGGCTGTAGAGCCTAGTGGTCCCTACGCAAAGCTGGTGGGTTGCCTCATGTACCTGATGACTTGCACTCGTCCAGATCTCGCATACCCTCTCAGCATCCTGGCTCGCTTTGTGGCCACAGGCAGACACTGACCACAGCACTGGTCGGCAGCTAAGAGGGTTTTGCGTTATCTAGTAAGTACATCGGGCATGGGGCTAGTGCTAGGAGGACGCATACCAGTGGTCCTTACAAGGCACACAGACGTCTCTTGGGCAGACGACGCTGAGTCTCTCAGGTCCTCACAGGGCTACTCCTTTAGCCTTGGTGCAGGCGACATCTCGTGGAGGTCCACCCGCTCCTCGTCTGTTGCTAAGTCTAGCTGTGAGGCTGAGATCTACGCTGGTGCCATGGCGGCACAGGAGCTCCGCTGGCTGACCTTCTTGCTCACCGACTTGGGTGAGCGGCCTAGCTCTGCCCCGGTTCTGTACGCTGACAACAGGGCCATGATCCTCCTGTGTCAGTAGCCACGACTTGAGGGTAGAGCGAAGCACATCCAGCTGCGGTACTTCCTCCTGCGCGAGCTGCAGCAGCGTCGCGAGGCCCGTGTAGTACACTTGGCCTCCGGTGCCAACACAGCTGATATCTTTACTAAGGCGCTTGCGCTTAAAGACCATCAGCAGCGCTGTGTACAGCTAGGTCTCGTTCCTGTAGCCTCTCACTTGCTAGGACCTTGATTGTGTGCAGACCCTTATATATATTACCCTGACTGGCCTTGTGGCCTCTTCCCAGTGGCTGGACTAGTAGTGCCACCCTGGTCTTGCTCTTGGCTTGTCTGTACTTGTTTGACTGGTCTTTAGACCCCTGCCTCAGAGGCTGGACTAGTAGTGCCACCCTGAGTTGTTTCTCTCTCATCGGGCACTGCCCCTATCCAGTTTAGGGGGTGTGTGAAACATATATTGTATGTTTCTGTAGACTATATAGGGTTGTGCCTGAGGGAGTACAATCCATTATGTTATATTCCCTTGTATGCCTTGTTCTAGACATTCTTTCACTTGAACATGATTCTCTTGATAACCTAACAAAAACCGGTCTGTTTTTCAGACCATCATAATGATTTCGTCTGATAAATGAGACCCTGGTTTGTACTCTTGCTGACTGGTCTTCGGACCTCAGCGTCATAGGTTGGACTAGTAGTGCCGCCCTGAGCTGCGTGTCTCTTGCTAGGCATTGCGCTTTATCTAGCCAAGGGGGTGTGCCAGCTTATACATTTGCTGTGCATGCATAGTTATAGGCTAGACAGGTTGGTGCTTAGAGAGGACAACAACCCAAACCCTTATATCACCCTGTATTCTCTTGCTAGAGTCCACTTGGTTACTCTGACATAGCTGAATGCTGCTGATGCAAAATGACGTGTTGTACATGTGACCATCAGTCTTTCGTGGAAGGAAGAAATGCCCTCACACACCAATCCACACAGTAGGAGCACACCTCCACTTTACCCACCCCAGCACCTCTTGACTCCCCACCCTGCCTTTCCCCCTCACGTCCTCCTTCCCTGTCCTTCCCCTGCCAATTTGCCTCCCCATGCCCATCCCCCCCCTCACCCACGCAGCAGCTGCGTGCAGTGCAATCGCCAGGCGTGGAGTGAGTGGCCGCTGTGGCAGCAACCGCATCATGGCAGGGGGCCATGGATGGAGGGGGTGAGGGGGGAGTGGGGCGACTGGGGCCAGGGTGGCAGGGCAAGTGGCGGTGGCAGCTGTCAGTGGCAGCGATGCACAGGGCGGGTGGTGCGCAGGGGGCAAGGGGAGCAGCAGGGAGGTGGGCGGGAGGGCCTGGGGCGGGCATGCGGGCCCAGAAGAGGTGCGCTGCTGAGCGAGCCACGTGCTTGAACTGCTCGCGGTCTGAGGGGGGGGGCACAGAGGGCGCAGAGCGGGCCATGGGTCAGCAGAAGGGGCAACGAAGGAATGTCTAGGCGCAAGAGGGTAGCATGCACGGGCATGCGACAGAAAGAACGAGGGGTGGGACGGAGGGAACAAGAGGTGCAGCCACTAGTTTAGACAAGGATCAAGAAGCAGTGCAATGGGATATCACAACTAGGTACCACCATTAGATTGCATGGGCACGAACAAAATGCTCCAGTGCTTGCTTTTTCCCCCACTTCACCTATCATTCCTTACCTATGGCCTTGCGCCTGTACAAGGGATGCAGGCACTGCTTCACTGTGTGCACAACTGCCTCCCTCTCCACCTTCTCTCCTCCGCTGCTCTCCGTGAGCCGCTCCGATTTCACCTCCCCATCGCCCCTCTCACCGCCACCACCCCCACTGTCGTGGCTCACACTGTTTCCGTTCCTCCTCCCTCCCCCCTGCCTCCCGTCATCCGTGGGCTCGCCCCTCCCTGCGCTGCCCGCCTGCCTCCCCCACAACCTGCTGCTGCCTCCCTCATTCCCCCCACCCGCCCTGCCACCCCGCACAGCCTCGCCCTCACCACCTGTGACCCGCAGCCGTCCTCCTTCCCCACCACTGCCCGCAGCCTCTTCCACCTCCACACACCTTGCTCCCTGCTCCCATTCGCCTTCCTCCCACCCACGCACAGCCTCCTCCCCTGCTACAACGCACTCAGCTTTCACCTCCCCCCTCCCGCACCCTATCTGCTCCGCGCTGCTTCCCACAGCACTCAACACCCCCTTCCCGCTACCAACCCCGCATCCACGGTAGCCGTGGTGAGCCCCCCACTCCAGCTTGACTGCGTGGGTGAAAACATCCCCCACATCCGCCTCCCGCATGCCGCTTCTCCCCTTCTCGCTACTCCGCATTTCTCTCCCTCTCTCCATGATTCCACCTTGCCCCTGCGCCAACCCTCCACCCCCCACTGTCCCCTGAACCCCCCACTCCACCTTCAATGCCGTGCGCCCCACGGCCCCCACCTGCGCGCCCTCATCATGCACCAAGCCACATACCTCGTTGTCCCTCCCCTCCTGTGCCCCCGCTCTCTCTCGCCTCTCCCTCACTCGTCTGAACCCCCGCACGCCCACCAACCCCGCACCTTGTTGCGACTCCTCCTCCCCCTGCTGCTGCCGCTCCTCTCCCCCAGCACACAGCGCATCACTGCCATTGACCTGCAGAGTTCTCCTGTCAGTGGCAGCGGCACAGGCGGCAGGGGGGGGAGAAGGGCGAGCAGAGGCAGGTGGGAGAGAGGCGGCAGACGGGGCGGAGAGTGATGAGAGAGACGGCGTGGCAGGCAGGGCGGACGAGCTGGCGGCTGCCGGCGCCGACCTGAACGCCGCTGCTGCTGATGGCGATGGGGATGGCGATGGCGATGGTGATGGCATAGCTGCGCATGGCGCGGCTGCTCGCTTGGCAGCGAGAGCACGGGAGGCAGCACGCAGGGCAGAGGACACGAGACTGCTGCCGCCTGCTGCTGTTGATGCTGCTGTTGACGCCATGGGGTTGTCATCCCTCGCACTCATGCTGCCCCTGCTGCTGCGAGGCTGTGAGCCACCATGTAAGGATAGTCCTCCCACCACTGCACCCCCTCCCATGGCACCACTCAAACCTCTCACCGCACTTCCGCCCACTCCTGCCCCTCTGCCTCCATGTGCCGTCCCAGCACCTTCCCCTGCATTCCTGCTGCCCCTGCCCGCAGTGGCAGCAGCACCCATGCGCGCCCTCTCGAACTGCCGCCATGCCCTCTCATCCTCCCCTGCGCCGCTCAACCTGCCCCCCGCGCTACTCCCCCTCCCCGCGCCCCCCCTGCTGCCCATGCTGCCGCCTGACGACCCCCCACGGCCCGCTGTGCGAGAACGATGGTCAGAGGGCAGGCTCACAATGTCGAGGATGGAGGGCGGGCATGCACGGGCCGTGGTGGCAGTTCCCGGCATTGGAACAGCGGGTGCAGCAGCAGCAGGACCAGCAGCAGCAGCAGCACCCAAGCCAGCATAGCTGCCAACGCTGCTGCTCGCCTGGTCGCTGCCCACCCCCCCTGGCCCCCCCACCGCCCATCTGCTGTTCGTCCTCAGCTGCTGCAGCTGCTGCCGCTGCCTCGCCGCCACCCCTGCTGCCAGCACTCGCAGGGCACTCGAGCTGAACGCACCCCGCCCCCCCACACCACTGCTGCTGCCGCCGCCCCTTCGGCTGCCCGCCACTGTCCTCGCCTTCCTCCTCACCCCCCTCCTCCGCACCTTCACCCTCCTCCTGCCCCCTCGGCTGCCCCCCACCCCCCCACCCGTGCCTGCAGCTGATGCTGTCGTGCGCCGCTTCACCCGCCTCCCCCCACCCCTCCCTGCCTTGCGCTTCCTGCTGCTCGTTGCTGCGCCACTGCCCGCCCCAGCACCAACAGCAGCAGCGGCGCCAAGGCGGGCATGTGTGGCGGTGGCAGCGGTGGCGGCGGGGGGAGCGTACCTGCCAACACAGATGCCCACTGCTATGCTGTCGTCCTCACTGCCGCCCACCACGCTGCTGCTGCTGCTGCTGTCTCCACCACCGTCACTACCATCCTGAGCCCCCTCGTCCCCGTCACTCTCACTCCACTCCCCATCGCACTCGTCCTCGTCCTCACTCTCCTCATCGCCTTCCCCATCGTGCGCACCCCCTTCTTCCTCCCGCGCACTCTCTTCATCGCTCCCTGCCCATGTCGCCCCGCCAACTCCCCATTCCAACCCCATCCCCATTGCCCCTCTCGCGCTGCTCTGCCTGCCACCCCTCTCCTCCCCCAAGGCTTCCCCCTCGTTCCCCCCCTCCCCCTGTGCGCCCAGCAGGCGCGCGACGGCGGCGACACAGGGCGGGCAGAGCCAGTCGCCGTGGGGCACGGTGCTGCCCAGCCCCACGCAGTAGGTGTGCGCCGCGCCGTCACAGCGGTCGCACAGCAGCAGCAGCCGCTCGTTGCTGCCGCTGCCACACTCCATGCACCCCGCATCGCTGTATGGCTCACGTGCCGCTGCTGCCGCCAGGTCAGCTGATGCCACCTCGGCTGCCAGCTCAGCATCTGCTTCGGTGTCCACGGTCCTTGACTGGGGAGCGAGGGGCGGGCGGGCGCAAGGGCACACCACGGGGAGAGAAGAACAAGCTCGACTTGCTGTTTGGGTTGAGCGAGTCACGTAAGCCTTGCCACTACCCCGTGACCATTCCCTCCTCGTCCCTCTCCCCACCCACCCCCGCTCACCTGGTCCCTCAGCGGCACTCTGATCGTCACTGCCCTCTGCGACCGCCGCCTTGCCCCCGCCCCGCCTTCTCCCCTCTCCCCCGCCTGCCCCTCCCCTCCGCTCTCCCCGCCACTGCCCCCTGCCCCCTCCCCACGCGCATGCAAGGGCGGGCAGAGGCGGCGGATGCGAGTGAAGCGGCGCTTGCAGAGCGGGCAGCGGGACTCCACCTGCGGGGGGGAGGGGGGGATTGTGAGGATTCGCGCATGTGGAGGCGAGCAGCGACGACTGCACGACGGCAGGGGCAGGCCGGGGTGAGCAGGGGACGGTGGGAGTGCAGAGAGGGATAGGGGCCTCTACGGAGGGGAGCCGTGGGCCGAGGCGTTGCGGGTGCGCGAGGGCGAGGCGATGATGGATGGCGACACGATTGAGAGGGTGGCGCCGACGGCACGACGGGGGGGAGGGCCGCGCGACGGGTGGCGCGCGGACGGGAGCGAGGGAGCGGCGGGTGAGCGGGGGAGTGACAGCTGGCGGAGAGGCGAGATGGGGGGCGACAGGGCGTGGTGTGTGTGGGGGGGTGTAGGTGCGAGGGGTTGCGCACGTGCGACCACTTGAGGATGCAGGCGAAGCAGAAGAGGTGGTGGCAGCAGTCCAGCGCGCCCTGCTGCAGCCCGCGCGCGCCCACGTCGTCCAGGCAGATGCCGCACCACGCCTCGCCCTCGCCCTCGCCGCCATCGCTCTCGCTCCTCGTCACACCCACGTCCGCCTTCTCGCCGTCGCACCCCGCGCCACCCATGTGCTGCTCCCCACACCGCCGTGCGCCCGCGTCCGCGCGCCTCAGCGCTGCTGCACGGCGCGGGCAGCTGCGAGTGCCGTGCCTCTGCCGGGCGTCGTCACGCGCAAGGCCGCGCGCCGCGTGCGTCACGTGGCGTCCAGGCGGCGCTCAACGACTGCGCACCACACGTCCCCTTCTCAGGCTGCGCTAGTCGCCTTTCGAAGGATCGCTCATGGATCCGCCTTTCCTCTCCGCGGTGAGTGCGTTGGCCCTGTTCCTCAAGCCGCCCGCGCGATAACGGTGGTGGCACGCGAGAGTCGTTGCTCCTAGAGCGCTGCTGCAAACAATGCCATACCCACCCATGCTCATTCTGCACCACTGCGCATTGCGTAACCTCGACTACAACTACCACTCCGGTGCTGTGCGGTTCTGCGGTGCAGCTGGTCAACTGAGCTGCGGGCTGCCCTGCCACGTAGCCCACCCAACCGCGTGGCCAAACCTTTGGCAGAGAATGGAGGTTGCTGACGGAAGGCGCGCTTTGTGATTCGCCCAGACAAGAACACTGACGAAGCGTTGAAGTCCTGCAGGCACAACCCGTTAAATATGTAAGAGATTTCGTCATCATACAATGCAACAAGACAACAAATGATTTGGCTACGAGCATCGATATGATGAGAAAGGTCCGTAGGATCTTCAGGATAGAACGCTCATAGAGCACTGGCAGAGGGTTTATGGTTGGATAGTGACCTTTTCAGCGTGAATTCAGAATAACAAGATGATTAAAACAACGGTGATGTTTTGATTCTATACTTTCAGTTACTTTGGCCTCCTAAGTGCAAATAGACTCCATCCCTAATCCTAATACGATGGTTTTGTTGAGTGACCTGCTAGGGGTTACCCTTGATAAGATCCTCGGGGAAGGGCCACATGTGCAGAGCCTGGGGGGCTATGGGCACTGTGACCCGATATTAACAAGCCCTTTTAACTCATTGGTTAATGGCTGAGTTTCTTTCAGGTTTGTGTTAAATTATATATATATATATATATATATTATATAATTGTAGGCTTGGTAGGTGCTACTAAAGAGGGTGTTAAAGTGAGAAGTGTTAACTAGAACAAGACATACATGGGTATATAGCCTAATGGGTTGTATATCAAACATGTTTAGTTATCATGCTTGTATAGACTGTATAGGGTCCTCTTCTAGAGAGTACAACAGTTAGGTATATGTTTGTGTACTCTCTCTCTCTATTCATCAATTTCACTGTTTGATATGGTATCACGCGTAGGTAGGATCCCCCCCCCCCCCCCCCCCCCCCCCCCTCACGCTTCCGCTCGCCCCCTAGCTGGGCCCCGTCGTGCTCCTAGCCCCGTCGCGACCCTCCCTAGCCCCGTCGCGACCCTCCCTAGCCCCGTCGCGCCCCTTCCTGGGCCCCGTTGCGCCCCTTTCTGGGCACCGTCGCGCTCCTCCCAGGCCTCGTAGCGCCCCTCCTGGGCCCCATTGCGCTCCTCCCAGGCCCCGTCGCGCCCCTTCCAGGGCTTCGTAGCGCCCCTCCAGGCCCCGTCGCGCCCCTTTCAGGGCTTCGTAGCGCCCCTCCAGGCCCCGTCGCGCCCCTTTCAGGGCTTCGTAGCGCCCCTCCAGGCCCCGTCGCGCCCCTTCCAGGGCCTGGTAGCGCCCCTTCCAGGGCCTGGTAGCGCCCCTTCCAGGGCCTGGTAGCGCCCCTCCAGGGCCCCGTCGCGCTCCTCCCAGGCCCCGTAGCGCCCCTCCTGGGCCCCATTGCGCTCCTTCCAGGCCCCGTCGCGCCCCTCCCTAGCCCAGTCGCGCTCCTCCCAGGCCCCGTAGCGCCCCTCCTGGGCCCCATTGCGCTCCCCCCAGGCCCCGTCGCGCCCCTACCTGGGCTTGGTAACGCCCCTCCAGGCCCCGTCGCGCCCCTACCCATCCCCGTCGCCCCTGCTCGGCCCCGTCGCCCCTGCTCGGCCCCGTCGCCCCTGCTCGGCCCCGTCGCGGCCTATCGGCCGCGTGGCGCCCGCCCGGCCCCTGTCGCGGCTGCCCGGCCCCTGTCGCACCTGCCCGGCCCCTGCTCGCCCGCCCGGCCCCGTCGCCCCTGCCCGGCCCTGCTGTGGCCTGCCCGGGCCCCGTCCCTGCCGCCCGGCCCCGTCGCCGCCGCCCGGCCCCGTCGCAGCCGCCCGGCCCCGTCGCAGCCGCCCGGCCACGTCGCAGCCGCCCGGCCACGTCGCAGCCGCCCGGCCCCGTCGCCCCTGCCCGGCCCTGCTGTGTCCGGCCCGGCCTCGTCCCTGCCGCCCGGCCCCGTCGCAGCCGCCCGGCCCCGTCGCAGCCGCCCGGCCACGTCGCAGCCGCCCGGCCTTGTCGCTGCCGCCCGGCCCCGTCGCCGCCGCCCGGCCCCGTCGCCGCCGCCCGGCCTTGTCGTGCCTGCCCGGCCCCGACGCACCTGCCCCGGCCCTCCATACTTCCTGGTACTGTGCCCCGTTCCCCGCACCACTTTGCACCCTCCTGCACTTTCCTGCCCCGCCTTGCATCGCATTGCACCTCACTGGATCGCACTGACCGCACTGCACCGCACTGGACCGCACTGCACCGCACTGCATCGCACTGCACCGCACTGGACCGCACTGCACCGCACTGCATCGCACTGCACCGCACTGCACTGTCCTCCACTGCCCCTCATGGCTGCTGAGCTTCGTTTTGATGTTGAGGGTCAGCCTCTGGAGTTCGAGGCGTGGTTGGCTGACCTTCGCCGCCACCTCACTGGCCAGCGGCAGGACGGCCACCCGCTTTCTGCACACCTAGACGGTATGCTCCCCTGCCCTGACCCCCCTGCTGTGCTGCCCGCTGATCCCACGCCCGCTGAGCGCGAGTCCACTGCCGCTGCTGCCCTTGCCCGCTCTGTCTGGCTTTCCCGCGATGCCCTTGCTCAGCTCGCCATTAGCAATGCCCTCCCCCCCACTGAGCGCCCTCGCTTTAGAACCATTCCTACCGCCCAGGCCTACCTCGATGCTGTCATCAAGCGCTATTCTACCCCTCCTGCTGCCTCAGTGGGTCGCCTGATCCTTCCCCTGCTCTTTCCTGACCTGGCGTCTTTCCCCACTGTCTCTGACCTCGCTGCCCACCTGCGCTCGATAGATGAGGCCTGGCGCGCTGCCTGCACTGATGCTCAGCTTAGAGTCCACCAGCCTCCCATGACCTCTACCCTCTACCTCCTTGCCACCCGCCTACCTGACCGCCTTGCCGCCGCCCGCGACCAGTTCCTTAGCATCCACCCTGCTGCTCTCACCCTCACCGACTTTGTTGACACCCTGACTGCCATAGAGACTCGTCACCGCTCCATAGCCCTGGCGAGCGGTACAGTACCGGTCCCTATCTTTCAGGGTTGTGCCCCCGCTCAGTGTACCTTCTCCGACGGCTCTGTCGCTGTGGCTGAGACTGCTGCTGCAGTGCAGTCCCGCTCGGCGAAGGGCCGCCGCCCCAAGGTTGGGAGCGGCGGAGGCGGCGGGGGTGCGGGTGGGGGTAGTGGTGGAGGCGGGTCGTCCGGTGCCGGTGCGGACGTGGGGACCCTGCCCGGTCCAGCTGCCCCGCTGCCTCCACAGTTGCAGCAGCCGCAGCAGCAGCAGTCGCCGCAGCCGCAGCCTTCGCAGCAGCCGCAGCAGCCGCCGCAGACGAGGCAGGCGAGTACTCTCCCACCTGGGTGGCCTGGAGCTGGTGGTGGTCGTGCGCGTGGTGGTGCACCGGGTGGTGGTTCTGGAGGCGGGCCCTGTCAGTACCAGATCCAGACCGGTCCTCGCCGCGGCTTCGTTTGCGGTAAGATCGGTCATTCTACTCCTCGCTGTTTTCGTCGCCTGGACGACCTGTTCCGCCAGCGCTTTGGCCCGGCGCCCGACCTCCCGGACTGGCACAGCTTGCTTAGGCGTAGCATTAGGATTTTTGACTTGGACATGGATGCCATTGTAGCGGCCTTGCATGTGATGTATGCTGATGACTCTAGTGTGCTACCCTCTTATTACCCCGTGTTGCCTAGTGTAGCGGTGCCTAGCGTAGACTCCCCTGCTGCGTCAGGCGTAGGATCTCCTGCTTTGCTTAGCCTTGGTGCTTCCACCGCTTCACTGCTGCCTCGCGCGACTGCTGCGCTTTCCTTCACCTTGGACTCTGGCGCCTCCCGGTGTTTCTTCCGCGACTCCACGACGCTGACGCCGCTGCCTGTTCCCGCTGCAGTTACTCTTGCTGACCCCTCCGGTGGTCCCGTCGTTGCCCGCAGTTCCACCTCCCTTCCCTGTCCGGCGGTTCCTTCGGGCACTCTCACAGGTCTGCATATCCCCTCGTTCTCCAGGAACCTCGTTGGTGTCGGCTGCCTCCAGGACCTTGGCGTCACCACTACGTTCCCTGGTCACGAGCGGTATGCTGTCTGTACCGAGGCCGCCACTGGTGCCCCCCTTACCACTTTCCCCCGGGACCCGGTGTCCGGCCTGTTCACACTTGACACCGCGCCGTCCCCGGCTGGGTCTTCCCCCCCGGTAGCTGCGTCCACCCAGGTTGCAGCCGCGTGCTCCTGTCGGTCCCTCACTCACCCGACTCTCCTTTGGCACCACCGCCTTGGTCACCCTGCACTCCCACGTCTGCGTCACATGTCCCAGCACGGTCTCGTCCTTGGTCTCCCCGGTTCGTTCCCCGAGTTTCCCTCCTCCCCCGCCCCACCGTGCACGCCTTGTGTCGAGGGCCGGCTCCGCCGTGCCCCTCACTCCTCCTCTTTTCCCCCTACCACCGCACCACTGCAGACTCTGCACATGGACGTCTGGGGCCCAGCCCCGGTCCATGGGCCGCGTCGCGAGCGCTTCTTCCTAGTGCTTGTCGACGACTTCACGCGCTACACCACCGTCTTCCCCCTGGAGCGGAAGGCCGACGTGCCTGACGTTCTCATCCCCTGGCTTGTCTCTGCTCGTGTCCACCGCGGTCTCCCTGCCTTGCGCCTTCACTCCGACCGGGGTGGCGAGTTTGCCTCAGGTGTCCTTGGTCGCTTCTGTCGTGCGGAGGGCATCACCCAGACGTTTACCCTGCCGGACTCCCCGCAGCAGAATGGGGTCGCTGAGCGACGCATCGGTTTGGTCATGGAGGTGGCTCGCACCTCCATGATCCACGCCGGTGCACCCCATTTTCTGTGGCCGTTCGCCGTGCGCTACGCCGCTCACCAGCTTAACCTGTGGCCGCACCCCCAGCGGCCGCAGGTTTCGCCGACCCTTCTGTGGACCGGGTCCCCTGGTGACGCGTCTGCGTTCCGCGTCTGGGGCTGCCTTGCTCACGTTCGTGCCTCTGGCACGGACAAGCTCACTGCCCGCACCCTCC